ATCTACCCCTGCTAGAAAAAACGATGTCTGAAGAAAGTAAATGGGATTTTGTGCTGGCTCGAGCTAAGTATGTAAAGTACGAAAGCCCCAAGAAGACATGCATGTTCAGACGTTATCTTTGGTTAATATGGCTTTTTAGAGCTTCAGATCTTGAGAAAACCAGCGTTGTTACCCGTAGATAGCGAGATCATGAAGTCCAGATCGTAAGAAAAGAGACAGAATTGGATGCATATGCATGTGTCCAACAATCTTGACTTACAGGCAAGATCACAATTCCAAGCAAAAAAATGGCATCTTTACAATCCTGAATGATGCGGCCCTGAAAGGAAGGTGCTGCAGGGAATCATCGGTCATCTTTGAAAAGATGTGACAGCATCTCCTCCCAACCTAACAATAGTGCATAGTCCCCCTGCCCCCTCCAGCCCAGGCCCCCCTCGTAGTGCTGCCCTTTTCAACCCTGCTAGCATCAGCTGTGAATATTATTCATAGCACCTTGTCTCTATCACGGCATCTGTAAAAACTAAACATCCTAAAATTAATGAGCCGTATCCTCCCCATTACATTTATCTGTTTAGTGGTGTTTTGGGCCTTCCTTTAGGGCATTATGCATGCTCTTCTGTTCATATTTATAACCCTGGCTTTTTATTAGCGACGTAGCGGGGTGCTAACAGTCGGGAGGCAGCCTGCGCTTTGATGGTGATGGCAGGCGGCTTGGCGCGGGCCAAATGTGAAGGAGAGAGAGGATCAGCTGCCAGGCCAAAGGGCCCCATGGTAGAGAGGAGGAGAGGGTGAGACAGAAAGAAGAAAGAGAGAGAGACTTTATTCCGCTTAAAAGTCGGAGAATCAAAAGTGTGAGATAGCAAATTAGGACTGGTTCACAGCTCTCAGCCTGCTCGACTTTGTCAGAAACTGTGTCTTGTGATCAGTGAATATTTATCGCACCTGCAGTGTCTGAAGCCTCACTAACCTGGGGTGTGCTCTGCATGCAAGATTCAGACCGTGGGTGAGCGTTTGTCTGGGCTCACTTTGTGTGTGTGTGTGTGTGTAAAGGCAAAGTGATGCAAAGTGCTTTTGTATGAGGGTCACTTCCTCTGTTTGCGTGGTATTGTATGCATTTGAAACCTCTGTAGCTGCAGAGATATGAGATTCTTTAATGTTCAGATCATCAACAGAAGGGGTAGCATGCTCCTGTATGAAAAGACAGATATACAGAATGAAAATGCGCGTATGGAAAATGTTCTAGCACCACAAAACTGCGCACTTTTTTTTTAGCATGATAGCTATAACCAAAACCAGACTTTTTTTTTTCCACTTGAACGGTACTCTGAATCCAATTTATTATCAAATCAAGACGCAGCACAATGAACAAGAACTTCTTTTTGTTGTGCCAAAATTGTTGTTTATTTGTGGCATTCTTGAGGGCTAGTAGTGAAAAAAGCCACAGCTGAAATAGATTTTGTAATTATCTCTGCAATTTAGAGCTGCCATTTAAAACTGTTATTAACATTCGAGTGCACATGGCAAGAAAACAAAACAATGAACCTTTCGAATGTATGGAAGCAGTTTGATGATTTAGTTCTGTAAATTATTAAGGGAAATGTCTACATTTCTCTGTTCCAGGTTCTCAGATACGACAAATTGCTGCTTTTTTTTTTTTTTTTTGACTGTGGGATCAGATCATCGGTTGCAGCCCCCTACAGTGAGAATACATTTTGATGCATTTCGATGCAAGGAAACACGATGGTTACAAAAGAAGCAACACCTTCTAGTAGCAGTTCTACTTATTTTCCCGAGATCTTACACAACACCGCTGCACGCGCTACAATCACTTTCAACTCTGACCTTATTAGCTGTAACCTTTCCCTGCCCAACCAATTACAGGAGATATTACATAACCTCCAGAGCAACTTGTAATGAGAGGAAAAAGGTTGAAATAGGCGTCATAGAACATTCCTCGGTTGATCTTTTTCATGGCAGACAATTGGAAAGTCCTACATTAGTAATGACGGGGTTCCATTTCGCGTTGTCAGTTAAGGGTCTGGTATTGTGTATGATGGCTCATTGTCACACTGCCTGCTGTCACGCTGCTTATTGAACTGCTAATGTTATTAGCAACCTCATTAGCGCCTTTTCTTTTCTCACTATGACAAGTCAAAAAGTCTGCTGTGAATAAAGGTTAGAAATTATTAATCATTAGAAAATCATTATATTATTATTATTATTATTATCATCATATAAATCATTAGAAATGTGATCATTATGGACTGTCCCAGGTCACCCGACCACCAAAGCGCTTTCCCTCCAGATTGGAGGTGGAGGTAGAGCTGCTGGGACAGCCATTGGATCGTCGCAGCTTATCCTGGCTCGCATGAAGGAATCATCCCAAAAGCCTTTTAGGAAATGGACCCTGGCTTTATGTTGCGCCAAGTGATGTTGGCTCTCCAGATCGGCGCTTGTCCAAGCAGAGCTGGAGCGAGCCATGAGGGCTCCTTTATCTTGGCTATTGTTGGCTGCTTTTGGCTCTTGATTCCTTTGCCCACACATACACAAAAAAAAAAAAAAAAAAACACAAGCAAGTTGCATGTTCACTTTAGGCCACGAGACAAATAGGCATGTTTATGCATGTGCGTAGGTGTTCACACATTCACACACACACACACACACACAAGAGCTGCATAATAACACACAGAGCAGCTTAATTATGCGACTCGCACATGCACACACACCCAAACTAGCATAATTACATGCGGCCTCATACAGTACAGACACCCACATGCCTCCACACAAGGAGCCGCTGATCAACTGCATGACCTTCTCCCTTACAATGTTAATGTCACCACCTGGGGGGGGGGGGGATGGAGTGATGGGAGAAAAGAATCAGAAAGATGGATGGAAAGAAAAGCGGCGCAATAAGCCGGTCTTACCTGCCACCGCCTCACCTGCAGCCTTTTTCATCCTTCTTACCTTGTCAAACGGCCCACATTTCTGCATGCACACACACTTACAAGTACAGTATGCGTCACTGTAGGCATCCTGCCGCATCGCCGCGGGTCGCAACCTAACATTTAGAGTGCACGAACCCTTTTCTGTGGATGTGTGTGTGCGTGTGGCCCGTGGCTTGCCCGCTGACAAGATCCTGTTATGGCAAATGTCACACTTCCAAAAAGGATTCACCCCCCCGCGGAGAAAATGAAGTCAACACCTTCATTCTCCCTCCCTTGCCTCCTTCACCTTGTCCCTCCATCACTCCCCCTCCTCCTTCTTCTTCACCTTCCACTCAGCCCCCCTTCTCACTTATCCTCTTCTATCCTCTTTTCCGCTCTCTTGAACTATCTCTGCTGCGCACACACACACACACACACACACACAAACTCACTCACCTTGGTTTGCAGTCCTAAGCGTTTTGCTGAATAAAGTCCCCTTTAACCGGCTGGTTTTAGCGGATAATTAGTGCTCACCTTGGGAGTGGAGGAGACAACAATGAGAGAAAAAGGGGGGACATGGTGGAAAGAAAATGGTGTTTTGGGGGAATCGATAGAGGGTGAGGCACAAGGAGAAGGGTAATGGTGAAAATGAGTGAGTAAGAGAGCATGGTGGGGGTAGGAGGTTTTGTTTTCACTCCTAAAACCACTACACCTCACACGCTTCAGATGCGTTCCCTTTATCATGTCTTCACGGCTCCAATACTTAATTGTGTTCTGAGAGACAAAATAAGGAATGAAAGAACCGTCACAATTATTTCACTGACTGCAGCCATCAAGGAAACAGTAGAGACCTCTCACATAGCCCATGAAAGAAGTTCTATTTCAAAGCATCACAGATAAAAAAAAAAAAAGAAAAAAAAAGAAAAAGCACGTAGGCGTGCAGTGATGGGAGGAGGCAAGGCGCGCTATCTTCACTTCTCACTCTAGATGTGGTCTCGATCTGCTTTTTTATTTCATGTCAGTATGCAGAAAAACTCCAAATCCTTTTCTGTTCCTGGAAGGAGACAACTTAGAGGCGCAATCACACTCCCTTGGCAACAGACACCCCCCTCCCAAAAAGAAGAATGAAAAGGTGTGGTTTTATTTTTAGAAGGTGCAAACAAGGGAACTGGGGGGGGGGGGGGGTTGGGTTGTAAGATAGTAAATGTCTCTGATGTGTTCAGTCTGCACAACCTTATTCCTGATAATGGAACTAGCTACTCCGTCTGTCAGTGCCTATTTACACACAAATGAAGTGGCGAGTAGCACGCGCCCAGTGGAGCTGCTAGCCTCCATCTCAGCTGTCAAAACAGGTTAGCGGATACAAGCGATAACACAGCGATCCCTGGGATCAAACTGGCGCCGTCCATTCACACATAATAGCTTCATCCTTGGACATGGAGCGTCTCTTTCCCCTCGCCGGCTCTCCTCTCGAAACCTGGCCAGCTTGTTGCAAAGTAATAGACTTCTCAGAATGCCAGTGCGCACAAATCGGGGATGTAGCCTTTTATTTGCCCTCCACGGGGAGAGGTGTTTGGAGTAATAGGGATGAAGCAGAGCATAACTACAGCTGAATAAATCTTCCTATCTTGGCTCAGAGGAAGCCGGTGCACACATGGCTTGTCAAAGCTCTATAAAATGTTGTTTGATAGGAGTTCTGTACAGTTTAGGACTTCGCCTCCTGATATCCACTCGGCTCACTTTCGTTCCGCGCTACAGCGGTTGCAATCAATCAGTGTGTAATCAGGCGTCTTGCTGGAGCTGCCAGGTAATCCTGGCTGTCTGGGTGGCTATCAGTGCCTGTGCGCATGTGACAGCTGGCAGAGCAGCTAAGGTGCCTGTCTGGGTGAGTGGATGGCACCATGCAGATTTTCTCTCCACAGCGTGTAAAGGCATATCCAATGATCTGATGGCTGTTGAAATTGTCAAGTGGGATTTGAGAGTGTGGATGGGCGTTTTCAGAGCAGATGCCCAAATGCGTGAACTTGACTGAATTGAGTTTAAATTGAGTCTATTTTTCCACTTTCTCTCTTGCAGACCTGCCTAGAATTGGAGCGCTATCTGCAGACTGAGCCCAAGCGTCTTTCAGAGCTCTTCGACCAAGACCTGGATGGCCTTTTAACACCGGCCTACCTGAAGGAGGACGGCGAGGAAGAGCTGACAGACGCACTTCTCCCCAGCCTTCCCACCCACTCTGAGCCCCCAAGCCCCCATCCGGTGGTCCTTTGCCCAACACGTAAGAATTTCCCCTCCACACCCGCAATGAAAAGAGACCTCAAACCCAAGTTGGAAAATGTTGAAGGGATGGAAGGCGTCCACCATGCCCAGCTGAGCGCTGTCACTTCCCTGACACCCCCGTCGTCGCCAGAGCTGGGCAGGCATCTTGTCAAACCCAACCAGACGCTGACGGCATCAGCTGATGGGACGCTAACCCTGAAGCTGGTGGCCAGGAAGGTTGGGCTTAGCGCGGCAAGGCTGGTTGCAGCACATGCACTTCCTGTCCGGATGAAGGATGAAGAGGAGGGGGCTGCATGTGTGATTGGGGTTGGGGAGCTACCTGAGAACAAGAAGAGGATTCACCGTTGTCAATTCAATGGCTGTAGGAAGGTGTACACCAAGAGCTCCCACCTAAAGGCCCATCAGAGGACACATACAGGTGAGGCATTAGGAGTTTGAGGAAAGAAAGGCGTATTTCTTGTAGTCGTAGCAGTAAGAATATGAACTTTTATAAGAAATAGTAGGCCCCAGTAGGTAATGTCAAAAATAGGCTAAATTAATATGTGTAAATCTGTATGCTAGAAATGCATTTAAGTCAATTTTCTGAAAGTATAAAGCTGAGTGACCTTATGCGACTTTCAGTAAGGCGTCTCTGGGGACACCACTCTTACCAGAGGTAGCCACTTGATACCCAGGCTGGTTATAAAACTGATGGACACTCATTGTTGGTGACAGGCTTAAAAGGCTCAATCCTGAAACTAAATGACTCTTCCATGCTGAAGACGACGTGGGCATAAGTGTATTTGGTGAACATAGAAACAGAAAGGATAGAAGTGAAAGAGCATTCATGACTCTTTTTGTCTACGAGGGAAGATGAACGTAAAGATTTCTTTCTGCAGAGGACCCATGAAATGATGGCAGTTTTCAGTAATGTCTAAAATTCTTAGAACACATAAGAAATTACAATTGAGCTGAAAGAAGGGTCAAGGAAAAACACCCATGTAATCATTGAAAAGACACTCCCATGGAAATATCCCTGTTAAGTTTGAAAAGATGGTATTTTAGGAAAATGCACCCTAACCCTCTTATTTTAGTCAAAAGTAAGTCTCTGTGGTGAACCAGGACAGGTCCTCCTTGTCAAGGTTCTTCTCAAGAAGGAATGGGGGAGGGTTCAGGAGCTATAACTCTCCCGCTCTTCCATCTCAATCCCAAACCACTCAGACCCCTGTCGGGGAGCTGTCCTCCGTCTGAGTAACTGCGCAGTGATGGATGGATTGACCTGGATAGGCTGCCATTTCCCCGGTTTATTTCAAACTCTCCCCCCCCCGTCCTCTATGCATTCTGTAAGTCTAGGTCAGTGGTTCTCAATCTGAGGTTGGAGGTTTTTGCAAAGGTGGTAATAGGATTAAGAGCAAGAAAATATATTTCCAGTGTAATGGTGTATAATAATCTTAGGGGCAGACCATACGGGGGACCATCTGCATGGTTATTCTGATAGTGGGGGGAAAGGGAAAAGGAAAATTGTTGCTGAGCATCTGTGTTTGCTGTTATTAATTCGCAAGGTTAGGGTTCAGCGGCCCTTTGCCTCCGGGTCTCGTTCACACCAAACGAATTATAGGGGTGTTGATTTGAACTCTAAGGTGTTTCCTTTTTGGTCTGTTGGGGAAGGTGTGAAGAATGTGTTCTGTTCTAATAATTGGGCTGAAAATGTTGGGCTCCTTCTTCGTCTGAAAGAGGCGATCAGGGGTAAAATTAGATGAATATATCAACTCTTAGGTAGGCATTGGTCATGCATGGAGGGCTTTGACTATCAAATGAAATGTACGGTGGACAGCAGACTGGACAGCTGTTTCTTTATGTGCTTTAAGCCGTGGACTTACAGCAAACAGCGTCCATCATGCTAAATGAAGTTAAAGTGACTCAAATGAGATTATCTCCTGCCCATTATATAAACCCCTAAACTAAATGGTTGACGGATCACCAAAACTGGCCCATTCAGAAGACAAACATGACTTCTTAGCAAGCCCTGGCCCACTTTTATTCCATGGACGAGGATATAAATAAAGTCATCTTGTCAGCTATTGTATGTGAAGAATGAGCAAAGCAATCTGTATGTGTGATCACACTCTCTATGAAGCACACCACAGGTTTAGGCATCAGCGTGACTGGAACAAAGGGCACAGACATGCAAGCATTGATTTCCCCAGTGTGGCTTGTCTGCAACCCTTGTGTTCGGACTCCATGCCAACTGGGCCAGCTCTAGTAGACAATTGCAACTGTTGCTGTCCGATCACAATATCCATACAAGCATCTCAATTATCATATTGGCTATTTGGATTTGTATTGAAACTGAGATGAATAAAAAAGCAGGACAATGAGTGTTGATGCTAAGTATGTGAGACATTTGTGTGCTATCTTTTCTGAGGAAATTTATATAAACCTTAAAAGAAGAAAACTTAATTCCTGGCAGGGAGTAATGACTTTAAGCCATGCTAGCAACATTGCTCTATGAATATGAATGTAGGCTTTTTTGTTCCTCAACCACTTTCTCCAAACTTCAATATCCCAACAACTTTTGGAAGAAGAACAATTACATTTGGTACTAATCATCATATTCCCTTCTAAATGAATCCTAATAACTTTTACGGTCTTAAAGGCTTCCAGAAAATGTCAGTAATGGCGTAAACTTTGGTTTTTGACTAATAAATGCACAGCGGCCTCCATTCCCATTAGCCTCAGCTGTACTTTGAGCTAATATGCAAATATTAATTGCAAAGCCTAAGATTGGTTCACATGGCAAATTGTGTCATTGGATATGAGCATGTTAGATTGTCATTGGTAGCCTGTTAGCATGCTAATGTTAGCAATTAGCTCAAAGCACAACTTAGCCTAAGAGTCACAGAGGTGCGAGTAGTTTTATAGACTCTAAGACTGATTTTCTCTCTCTTTCTACTTGATTTTTTTGCACAATTATTAAGAAAATAATCATTGTATCAAATGTCAGAAATTGTCATTTTCATGATCCAAAGATGGCATCCTTATATGAGACATTTTGTCCAATGTACTGTGAATTTTCTTTTCTGTTCTATCTACGATCATCAAGGACTATATGCTTCCTTTGAGAATCCGATTAACTGTTAAAATTTTATATTTTAGTACTTTAATGTCACTTAATGTTGCATTTAACACCTTAAAGGGCTAAGAGTCTTCAGGAGCTCCCTCCCCCTATGCTTATCATTGTCACATAAGATACTTTTGATTAAAGCATCTACTCATAGAACATCTGTCTAGCTATTCAACCCAGGAAGGTAGAATGATAATAGAGGGAAATGTCGACAAAAGATAACAAAAGAAAGAAAAAAAAACGACAAGAGCTGGAGAGAAAAGCAGGAGAGGAGGAAGAGAGTGATGTGAAACAAAGAGTAGAGGAAGACAGAAGACAGGAACGGGGGAGGTACAGTAAGAGCGACCCTCTTCAGAAAAGAGACAGCAGTGCCACAGGCTCCCCCATTCACTGAGCCATTATCCTGACAAGTTTAAAGATGTCATTACTCAAATCCTCTTTTTCTTAGTTGTTATTTCCATAAATTACCGACGGAGAAAAGGCTACGATTTAATCTGGAATTAGACGGGCTGAGTTGAAATGACAGTGCCCTGTAGAGCTTTTTGTGAATAGGCTTATGGAAGATAAGGAATGGTACAATTAGATTTTGGGCAGGGTGAGAGAACGGGTAAAACACGAGGACTGTCGGGTTATTCTGCCTTCTCTCTCTCTCTCTCTATCCTTCTCTTCCCTCTGTTCCTCGTCTGCCTCGCTCTCTCGCTCCGTCTGTTATCCTACACTTTCCCTCCCTCTCGTTCCATATCAGTCTTTCATAACGCGTCTGTCTCTGTATGCTTCTCTCTCACCATCTTTTATTGCTCTGCTGTTTCTCAACTCTCTCTTTAAGCAACTTTTTGAGGGAAATGTGTAACTGCAAATTTTCCGGACCAATATTGCACTTGTTTTCTATCGATTCTGGCCTGGACTTCAGGTCTTCATAGAATAAGAAAACATATAGTCAACACTGATTGACACTTTATGGCTGAAGGTTCTGAATTTAAACTCCATGGTTTTGGCACATTTGAGATGTCAACGTGTCTACATATTGAATGAACTGCATATTATTTTGTAATTTAAAGTAAATCTGGATACAAATGTATTGAGAAATGTAAGCTTACACAGATATGCCTTTTATAAGTCATGATAATTTGAATGTACACGCACAAGCAGAGTTAGCAATTAGCTAATATTTTTTTTTGCTGTATTGCTGACTGAGAGCATTAGTGTAAATCAGCAACAGCTGGGGTGGATTAATCTGTGATGGTTGACAGCAGCTGTCAAAATCAACTTTCTCAGACAAAAATCTTAATAAGACATTGATTAATTAAGAAAGTTAGATATTATAAGAGTAATTACTGTCAATGATTATACAGTGATTAATAATGCTCAAAAAATGTTCTCTTGTTTTTAAAAGCTGTACGTCTGTAACAGACAAAGATCCAGTCCTCCATCATCCTGACACGTCTCTCTTACACACTTCAGTCCCCCATCAGCTCCTGCATCTTTCATCTTTTCCTCTTAACCTGTTTCTCTTTCCCTTTCTCTTTCCCCTCATCTCCGCGTCGGCAGCGCTAGTTGCGGGTCGGATGCTATAAAGCGTTCTCTGAGAGCCTCTCTAATGACCTCCGAGACCCGGATGCCCTGCTTCAGCTCCAGCTAATGGAGGGAATGCAATTAACTTCAACACTGGCACCTGAGTGGCTGGAGCGAGTGTGTGCAGATGTGTGCGCGCCAGTGTTTGTGAGAGCATTCGGAAGTCATAGATTTTAAGTAATGGGATTACAGTGACTCAGGAAACATGGAGGTATCAGATAACAGTTGAGAGACATGCGCTTGCTTATTTGAAAAACATTTTTAAAGGAAATAAGCACCATTTTGGCCTTAAATGAGTGACGCTAATGGAGGCTTAATGAAATAATGCTGCAAAAGAACAGTATTCAACAACAGCACTGTCCAGATAGGATTCTTTTAAATCAGCAGAAATAATCCACTTAGCTTCATAATCTACATTATGTGTTTAACAGGCAAAGTAATCCAGAAGTAACAGAGCATAATCAGATTATGTAGCAGAGTTCGCACTAATCCCAGGGATTAGGATAATGATTGACATTTCAAACTGCCAATCAATCAGACAGTTTGTAACACTGTGATGTTTTAAAGTTCCCCTTCTCGTCGGATTTCTGTGGGAATGCTCGAGAAGGCAAACGTGCACCTGCTTTGCTTGCCTGTTCGCATGAGGGGCATCTTAAGGGAGAGCAGAGTGGAGAAGGAAGTTGGGAGGGAGGGAGGGGGGGGGGTTGTTGCTAGGCAACGGGGGACAGCATATCGTTGGAGGAGTCGGTAGCTGAGTGGTTTTGTACTGCTTCAGGCTCCGGTCTCCCACTGCCCCCCTCCCCTCCCCGAGCTGCTCTCTCCTCCTGCATTACCACTACTACCACCACAACCACTACTACCCTCACCCCTCCCTCCCTTCCTCCCTCCTCTTGCCCCGCACCGCTCTACGGTTACCGTCGCTAGGCAACTGCCTCCGTACTCCGCCAGCGTGCTAGGTAATTGGCCGGTGGCATGGCAGCGTGCCGTTGCCAGATCCAGCCAGCTGCACTGACTACTGCCTCCTCATGTTTCAACGCACCCCCCCCCCTCTCTCTCTCACACACACACACACACATACATACACTCCTCCCCCTCGCTCAGGTTGCTAGGCAACACATTCAGGCATCCTTGCCTCCAGGGAATTTCATTGGCCAGACCGGGATGGCCCAGACCTGCTGCTCTGTGTTTCTAGAAAGTAAGGCAGTATAAAGTATCCACAGTGAGGGAGGGCATGCATGGATAAGACTAATTCCTGGGACTCTAAACCAAAAGCACATAAACTTAACCTTTTATTTACTCATTGGGAAATTAATTAAGAACATTTAATTTGTCATGGTCTAATTTTCTACAAAAATAATGAAGTTTAAGGAGAAAGGGTGGCTTGGCTAATTCCTGGATCTTCCAACCCATATCACTTCACGTATATAAGGAACTCGTACATAAATTCAATGAGTAAATCATGGTTGAGTTTGTTTATCACCAGATCTTTGTGCTGTTGTCAAATAAACCCATTGAATGGGAAACTTTGTTTATTTAATAAAGACAGATAAGTAGGGGGAAAAGGGGGACATGCATGGTGAGTAGGACGGGAGATGACTAATTCCTGGGGGTTAAAACCAAAAGCATGAAACTTCACCTGCATCATATCCCTGTCACACATACGGGTAAACGCATGTACTTGACACTAGAATTGTGCGGTTAACATGTTAAACTGTGAGAAATAATCACAGTAACAGCAGTGTCATCAATTTGTTTTCATTAGTGCTGTTTCTGAGCATTTTCCACGACTGCAGGTCATCCCTTTCTCACTTGTTCATTTATCACCTCTCCGCGGCTGTCACCTCACGCACCTCTGCTTCTCACCGTCAGAGCCATACATGACTCGCGTTAATGGAGTGCACTGTAACATGGCTGCTCAGCGAGCATATTTAATAGAAAGTGCGTCTGAGGGTCACGCGTTGGGGAAGATGTGTATCATTTTCACATTCGCCTCGGTGTGTGCATTTAAGGAGATCTTTGCTGTGAATTTCCAGGTCATAGAAGTGGCATTTAACCCCCTGAAAAGGACAGAAATGTACCTTTTAATTGGAACACCAAAGTACTGTAAGCATTATTGATTTTTCTCTGTGACCAAATCTTCACACAATTGGCGACTTTCTCCACCAGCTGGTTCCAGATAAAGACACCAGATACCCTGAAAACTCTCCTCAATCTTCACAAAGCAGTTCATCCATTGATTTTTTTTGCCTCCTTTCTTTTTTGATAATCACATTCAACAAATCAAGCCCATTTTTGGTGGCGAGACCACTAATGCAGAGCTGGTCAGTGTGACTGCGTTGGTCCAGATGGGATGTGACTGATGCAGGTGACATGTTTGGGGAAAAAAAAAAAACTGGACGCAGCTGGCAGATTGTGGCTTCCTCGCCATTATGCCGTGTGACTGGCCTAATTATCACCAACCCCATCCTCCTCCTCCTCCTCTTCTGCCTTAATCCACTTCTGCAACACTTCTCTCCTACTCCACTCCCCCCCTCATCTCCTGGTCTCATCTCACCTCCTCTTCTCTCATCCACCTTGCCTCTAATCCCTCCTCCCCCTCCTTCCTCAATCCTCCTCCTCTCCACTTCTTCTCTCGCTCCACTTCTCCACTCCTCTTCTGCGTGTTCAGCAGGATGGGAGACCAGTGGGAGCTTCTCCATCACAGCCTTTCTCTCTTTCCAGCCCTTTAAAAAAAAAAAAAAAAAAGAACCTAAACTCCTGTGAAATGGTAACACTTTTCCACAGGTAGACCTCAAAACTGTGCTTAAATATATCAGCTCAAGAGTCAAAATATTTGTAATTCCTGGTTCCACGTCGGTAACCACAGCGGTTTGTCTGCGTCCAAACAAGCGTGTGATTGCAGGATGAGCGATGAAAACAGGTGCTTATGCATGTTTTTTCTTTCCCTCCCCCAGGTGAGAAGCCGTACAAGTGCTCGTGGGAGGGCTGCGAGTGGCGATTCGCCCGGAGCGACGAGCTGACGAGGCACTACCGCAAACACACCGGCGCCAAGCCTTTTAAGTGCAACCACTGTGACAGGTCTGTCAAAACACATCTCAGCCCCCTCTCCCCTCTCCCTTATATGTTTTTTTCTTCCACTTTTCCGAGGGGTTATTTGAAGTACTTCCACGAGCACAGCAGGCCCTGTGTTCCCTCCATTGTGTTTTGTACACAGTTTGGTTTAGTAAAACAGCGCTACAAGATGCTGGTAACACACCCGATCCTGTTTGGTACTGACCCAGTTTAAAAGTGTGCTGGCAGGATTACTAATGTGCGCTCCTCTGCAACACATGCAAGACCAAACCTGCTCTGAGTTTCAATGGGAATCCAAAGCTTTATACCCACATTAAACCCTGCGCTGCATATTAATAGTGCCTCCCTCTCACATGGTGTTGCATGGCCTTGATTTGGAGGCTGTTTCCACTTTGGGACAGAGGTGTTAAATGACTGTAGGAGCCATTAGCACCATCACACTTCACTGGTATTGAATATTAATCTGAAGCACTGCGTTTTAACCCTTACCACAAAAGTGTACAGGCTGGTATTTTGGCTTCTTGTGATGTCATTTCTTTGCGTAACTTCAGACGCATCATATCCCTAGAATCTGTGCCGCCCTGGCTAAAGTTTTATGGAGGTCGGTAACTTATTATAGCTGAAAAAAGGACTGAAATTCTGTAGTGGTATTGAAAAAAAATGACAAAACATTTGAACCTTCATCAAATTTGGCTAAAAATCACAAACATTCAACATACAAATAGGGAATTTGAACACACATGAAATAGTTATTTCTGAAGTTATTCCTAAGTTTTAGAAAAATATGTACATGTTTTCACTTCTTGGACTGTTTGGTAGTTTTTCACCATTTGAAGTACGGGTTCAGTATTGTAGTTTTTATAGTGTCATTTCACAAATGATCCTTAAACTCTGTAACACCCATAACGCTGATTGGAGGGACTTTCCTGTAAACCTGGTGAGTCCTGGTCTGATCCCTGTGATCAGAGACCCGAGTGTCCTCAAAGACGTCATGTGTCACTCGATTGGGTGATGATTCGGGCTCTTTTTTTTCCGACCCCAGCAGTGTTGTTATTCAAGAGTTTTCAGATCGTTTGCCCTTTCTTGTTTACCGTCCAACAAACAAGAAAATGTCCCCCTTAATAGTACACAGAGGTGTCACTTTGAAGACTGGATGTGATGTCATCTGCCCACCACTCTGCTTCTTAATTAGTCGCCCCGGCTCCTGTTTAATTATGAACCACAGCAAAAAAAAAAAAAAAAAAAAAAAAAAAGAAAAGTTAATTTGCTGTGCTGCCTAAACGTGGCCCCGCTGACAGAATCATCAAACACACAGTGGCCATTACTAGCTGCAAAAAGATCGAGCTCGACTCCGACACAAAAATCTTTACTCCTGTTTTAATTACACCCTGTGATCTGTGATCGGGCCCCTCGCTGACACCTCGGGGATCTCGGAGCAATATTGTCTGCAGGAGCTTCCATGGTGTTTAAGGCAAGGGGCCCCGGGTGAGAATCTGGATGAGGTATTAAACTGCAAAATCTGTAGTTCTGAAAGAAGATACGTTTTATTTTATATTCTCAAAACTCTTTTCACTGCACCTTTAAGTTTCTTTAATCATGGATGTGTTCATTATGAAAGAACTAAAAGAAATCCCCCGTCACCTGGGGTACTTTTGCTTAATGTGTATGAAAGAGTGTGCGTCTTGGTCGCTCAAGCATGTGTGTGTATGTCTATGAGTGTGTGTGTGTGAGGGAGCAGAGGGCAAGACAGTGTCAACTTAATCAGGTCTCAGCTGGACAGACAGTAAATACAGTATCTCCCCCAACCCCAAAATACCAGCCCCCCCGCCTCTTCCCCTGCAGGCACATCCCTAATTCGGGCCCACCTCTGTCATGTGTCACAAGGGGCCCAACCCCTCCAGCCCATCGCACACACACACAAAAACATCCACCCTGCTGAGATGAAGGAAGAGGGGAAACAGGGGAGACAGAGAAGACGGGCTGGAAGATTGAGGGTGGTGGTGGTTGGGGGGGGGGAGACAGACCCACGGTGTGCCAGCTGGTGTCGTGCCCCCGAGTCGTGACTCATACTTTACCATCTGTCTCTCCGAGCGCACACACACTCTCCCACAGTGACACACACACACACACAGAAAAAAACTCCTCTGCTCGTCTCCTGAGCCCATTCATGTGATGTCACCGTGTGTTTGTTGGCGTGCGCGTTAAAGCAGCGATGCGCACGCACACACACACACACACACACACACACACACACAAAGATACACATGCAGGTGCGACAGTAAGACAGATGACTGGTGGCTCATCACAGTGCTACTCCCCCTCTTGGCCAAACACTGATTCATGTTGACATCTTAGACAGTTGCCTCTGTCTCAGTGGAAAGAGCCAATTTGAAACTGGTGTCACAAAAAATCAACAGTTGCAGAAGTGAAAAGGGAAGTCATATTTAAACGCCCTTTTTGATTACCAGAGGGGATTGTTTTTTAAAATATGAGTAGAATAACTCATTGTAAAAAAGATTAGTCGGACATGTGGCTGCAGGAGCAGGGGATCGAACCCCTGACCTTCCGGCTGAGAGACGACCGACTCTACCACTGAGCCCTGTGTATACATTTTCTTCAGTCCCCGTTTTTTAACTCTCAGGTTGTACAATTGGTCGTTGGTTAATGTCATGAGCTTGGTACTCAGCTTAATTTCTTCAACACTCTTTCTTGTACTTCTTGGTTTTTTCTCTTTTATACATTCCCTATATTGTGTGAACCAGCAACCATAACGACCAATGCTCACCCTGGGGAATAATAAAGAATTTCTGATTCTGATGAATTGTTGGTGTTGCTGGTTAAAGAATGGCATTTTTTTTTGTCTCATTGATTTGAATGGTCCCTTATTTGTGTCCATTTTAAACTGTATCAAGAGGCATTGTTCATTGAAAAAATGGAAATGTAAGGCAAGGCTTATTCTGCAATTACATGCAAGTTCAAAGTGTTTTTTTGAGGGCCACATTTCACTACAACAAACATTTTTGGCCTGTTATGTCTTTACATTTTGGCAAATCAGCAACACTTCATGGACACACTCTGCACTTGTTGAGCTCAACTTACCATCAGGTCCAACATATTTCCTGGCCTGGTATCAAAAAAAACGTTGAGGAACGTTCAGAAATTGCAGCAATTTGGCAGCAATTTGTACCGTTTCATTTTCCTGCCAAAGTGTATTAAATTGAGCCCCTTTGGTAAACTAGAAAAACAAGTATCCTACTCAAATATTTCCCAACACACTAATCACCAGAACACGCAGCTCCCAATTACCTAAAAGAAAACACTCCTCTTGGGGAATGTCGCTGTAGTATTAGTTCAGCAACACGCAGTAGAATCACTGTTGATCTAGTAGTCGTGATGAAAAAGTAGGTCTCCTTGGAAAGGCTGCGTCTTTATGTAAGCAGCTGAAATCATACATTATGTCAATTTTTGGCAATCAAGTTGAAATAATCAACCTCTTTTAACACCCTCGCTGGAAGAAGAAAAGAAAAAGGCCCGTGTACTTCCAGGGTGATTTCATGTTCCACTCTTGCAGCTTTGCCCCAGCAGTTCTGCAAGCCTGATTTCAGATGAGAGGCTTCGATTCATCTAATTTAGCTATCGTTTTCCAGCACATGTTTCAGTGTGCTGCTTTTTTATTCCGCCTCCCCCTCCCGCCCCCCTCCGCACTATTTCAACAGATCCATCTGCGGGCTCTCTAGTTATTCATGGCACAGCTGAAGTCATTAGGAGTGCTGCTGAAAATGCTGATTATGAATTAGTTACACATATACTAATTGCGTGTGCATTAGTGGCTCAGCACTCACTAGCTAACAGCAACATTTAGCTCAATCGGCAAAACAAACTTCTTCTTTCCCCCCGCATTGGCAACGAGCTAACAAGCTGCTCTCTGTTTTCTCTCTCTGTCTTTGGTTGCAGGTGTTTCTCGCGGTCGGATCACTTGGCGCTACACATGAAGAGGCACATCTGAGGGATTTGAGAGAGGTCAGCGGGAGTGGAAGAGAGAGGGGAAGGGGATGGAGGCGGAGTGGAAGGAAGAGGGAGCATCATCTGCAGTAAAATTACACCATGGATCTAAGAGAGAGTGACTATAGGTGATGGATTTAAAAAAAAACAACAGGACTTGGGAAAGAGGCACCACACAGGGACGCTGACTACAAACACAAACAGACTGGTCCAAAATGGCTCGGTCAATCTGTGCATGACCAGTTGGTCCATGATTCCGCAGTGACACGTCACCACCTTGCAAACGCCTGTCGTTTTGGCCTGGACGTTCCAGATGCTCCATCCCACCCTTCGTATGCATCTCAGACGGGATGTCACGCACTGAATGGTGGACCACGTGCCTGTAGTTGGCAGCTCTTTGTTGTAGTTGTCATCGCAGCCTTTGTAAGCGTCCCTTGCTAGAACACTTTTCAAATGTCAGCCCTGTTCACGCAGCAGCACTCAAAGTACCAGCAAGCTCACCAACGCCCAACTAGACAAGTTGTACCGCAATTTCAGTGCACCTTCAGCATCGCAGCTGTTTGTATATTCAAGATTTGCTGTGCGTAGAATCTTGAGTTGACGAGGAGAGATCGTCTCAAACAGCAGCCGAACAGCATCATCTACCAGGAAGAGCAAGCAAGCAAGAGAGATGGCTTTCTCTTCCTCAAAGGTGCCGCGGCCTTTCCAATTTGTCGAAGGGTTTATTATCTAACAATGGACAGATAATAATTTGACATTTTTTCATCTGACCTCTGTCAAATCTGTCAACTGGATCCATTTATAAAACCTCCTGGTTCGATTGCATTGGAGCACTTGTTTGAACGGAGCGTTGGATTGGATTTGCCCAATGCTCCAAGATGGGAATGCGTTGCACTGATGTACTCTAAAGACTGATGGAGGTCATCCAGAGGACTGGCTTGCTTTATGAACATCATCCAGGGGTTAGCGCTGGATGAGGCTAACTAATCTACTCTGGGACGGACTGTTCATTTCCTAGAATGTCAGCTGAAACCGAGAGATGCTAGATGGCTCCGAGGATTGTTTCCTCCTCTCCAGGATCTTTGCTCGTATGATTTGACGTCAAGAACTGTTGCACAATTGACTCTTTGCAAACTTTTTGTAAAAATGCCCCATTGACAATTCGGGACTCATCAAACGTTGGCTTTCACATGCCATATAAGTGTGGACAGCCACATGCACAAGTTGAAGCAGCTAGCTGACTGCGATAGCACACCGAACGCAACCAAGATCACTATGTATGATAAAGGCTATATCGTTTCTAAGAAAAGATTCTCCTATTTGTTCAAAACAGACAATTGAGAGGACCATTTTGAAAAACACATTGGGAATAGATGCAGCCAAAAAAAAAAAAACACACGTGTCTACTGTGGATGCCTGAAATGATCTCTTTGGCCTTTGAGAGTGATTGGCACCAAACTAGCCACTCGGTTGAGGAGGGCTTTGCCCTGTTCACACCAACCATGCAGATCTCTTCAAATTTCACATCTCTCAGACTTAATCACAGAGAAAAGCAGCATTCAAAACCTCTCCTAATCGGGCCCTATGCACATCCAAGAACATTCCTGCTGACTTCCTGACCATCATGCATGTCTGAATGCAGATTTCTGCCCTGCTGGACACAGAAGGACTTGAAGGAAGAATTATTTGACAAATTCAATCAATTGGATGGCTCTTCTTTGAGCAAATCAATGTGAATGTATCTGTTGTTAGTCTGTACATGTTGCCAGGCCAATGAAAACACTTGAGAGAGGTTGATTAGATCATACCAGACACCATTTGTGTTCATTCAGTGGTCTCTTTTCACATTAGAAATGAATTGTTGGACTTGGAATAACTAGCAAGTCACAGCTTGTAGCTTTTGACATTTTACCGGTCGTTCTGGACCAGCTCGAGGTCATGAGTGCAGATTTCCAGTGGGTGGCTGAAATGGGTACAGGGAGGAACAGATCTGCTCAGTCAGCAGTGATAACTGCCCCATCAGCTCATGAAACTGCTGTGGAGTGAAACCCACACACACGATACACATTCATACACTCCTGGCAAAACTGGAATTAACCTTGTCCTTAATGAGCCAACTCTTTTCCGATAGAGCAAAGAAGCATAAACTAGTCGAGTTTCATGTTTTCAGTACACCATCAGAAAAGGCTTTTGGATGACTCAACCCATGCGCACACAAATCCAAATAAGGCAGCTCGGACAAAAGTAGATTGTCAGGATTCTTGAGAAGTCTTTTGGGAACAACTGTGTTGGGGTGTTTATTCTTTATTTAACAAGACTTTTTAATACTTTGAGGCAAAGTGAGGCACACAGCAGTCTGCTTTTTTGGCAAGGGAGACACAGAATTGATTTCTCTCTGTGTACCAGAGGCGCATTTCAATTTCGGGTATGAATGCAGCCCAGCTCAATCATATCTAGTCATGATCTGTCTGCAGCTCTGGAAGTAGAATCTGTATCATCCCCTGCATAAATATCAACTCTTTCCCACTTAACTTGCAAACAAGCAATGGTCCCTTTTATGTTCAACATCTAGCGACAGGCCTTCACTTGCAAAGACAGGACCATAATAGAAACCAATTGGTGCAAGTTTGAACAACTTTTTTTTCTTTCATGAAAATGTCGTATGATCCAGGTTGCAGCCAAAAGACGATCAATGATACCAATGCTATCAATACTGTCAATGCTAGCAGTCAGTCTTGCTTGTTGGCTTGACTTAAAGTCAGTCTATTGGCGAGCATTCTGGTGAACATACTGGTGAAGAAATCAGATTTGGTTTTATTTGAAATATCAAGTTCAGACAAGAATGTCAAAAGCAGGCTTTGGTTTTCCTGCTAAGTCAGACTCTCCAGTTGGAAGATAAAATGAAGGACAGCAGTTTAACCCATGGGTTAAATTTGTATCATCAATGGCAGCTCTACTTGTGTGCGTCAGTATTTAAACGGGGCACTCTCCTGTTCAACCGAATGCTTGCGAATGTGTGGGAATGTGCAGTTTTTTTTGTTCATGTTCTGTACCGATCACAAACAGCTGAGGGTCTTGGACTGAAAACACAGAATGTGTTGTTGTTTCTCACGTTCATTGAGACTTTAAGAAGCCAAGACATGTGAATAAATCAAATGACAGGCAGTTTGAAAATCCGGACTTGACATCAACACACACTTCTTCTCTTGCCGGGAGCTGGAAAACTGGGATATCAAATGTGAATGTGTTTGCTGGAAAGGTTGTTTCATGTAGTCTCCGAGGATGCGGTTCACTTCTGTGTCATCTTAATGAATGATTGTCAATTCTGCTGTGCCTGTGTGTTCTTTGTCTGTTTGTATTTGCACTCTGAATTTTTTGGAAAAACCACTTGCATATCTGATGTTTTTTCTGTCCGCTTGTACACTACACTTCTCACGATGACCCCCGGGTGATGAAACACTGATCACAAAGTCTGTATAGTAGCTGTTTTTAGCACAAATATACACATTCCTGCATACATGGTACATATTTTACACACACTACAGACATGCAAACACATACACACGCTACTGTACATGCATGCACACACTCCCCGAACACACGCATTCATGCAAAAAACACACATACACATTCATGCACACACACATACTCAGTTCACACAAACACTTGAAGGTACTTCCGAATACACACTCGCACTCCGTTCTCCTTGTGTGTTTTTCACCATTTTTCATGCCATCTTGTGAGAGTCTAGAGATCCAGACTGCAGCTTCGCTCTCAGCAGAGAGAGTGAGAGGGGTGGGGAGGGGGCATGCATTACTATGTGTGACACCACCTCTGTTTCCACCAGGTCTGAATTTCATATCAAACGCACCCCCTTTTTCTACCAGCATTCCCTCACCGTCGCAAAAAAAAAAAAAAAAACCCACCTCCCCCTCCGCTTCCCCCGCCCCTCCACCACCTCCATTTTCTCAGATATGATCCCTTTCAACTGTCCGACTCCCCCTTCCTCTTCCCCTCGCTTCCCTTCCCCACCTTTTCCATCCGTTGTCTTTCTCCTTTTCTTTCGCTGTACAAAGTGTTTCAAATTTATCATTTGTATATTATGATGTATGGGTACGATAATGTTCTTTATTATGGATAAAAATGAGAAAGATTTATTTTTGTTACTGGTTTGTTTCATAATTCCTTTTTTAAATTGGTATTGTAATATCTCTATGCAAGGAACTGTTCGGTGAATCGTTTTTATTTAAGAATGTAATTACGTGTAATAAATGGTAGAAGCAGTTTGGCATGGAGTCTTCATTGTTCTTGGCCGGTCTGTTAATGGCGGTTTCATGCGGCAACAATATGCACCTAATCACTCATCTCCTCCCGGAATACTTCCTGATTTCTTATCGAGTCTCAATCACAGCCCCATTCAGTTTTGGAACAATGAGGGTTTAGGGGTACATTTACATACCCCTTTGCTTTTTTCTTCCCCCTCACTGTCCAGGCACCTTTTAGGGATGTGCTGCTTTAGCTTTGCTGCATGTTTTAGTTAAAATTTGCATCCCCACTGGGTCACAGTGGGCAGAAAATTAATTTACGCCCTCCCTTTTTCTGCTATTTGCAGCAAACCTCCCCTGGAAGATCTTTAAAAAGCCTCTGATTTATCGTTCCTTTTGATCAAACTCAGGAAATGGGCCAGAATACCTTCACTTTGGCTGAGCGCGCTCTCTCGTAGCCTCTCTCTGAGGGAGCCACGGCATGTTAATTACATCTGCTACCAACCAAGGTGATGACTTATCCGCTATTCCTGCCTTTTGACCATGACTAGCTGATAAAAGGCTAATCGAATAACTAATGGCTAATTAGGGAGTAATTACTCCCTGGTAAATGGCCCTATGCAGTGTATTAATTCTCCTCGGGTCTGGCGGTGAGAAACTCCCATAAGGTTTTTTGTTTCATTTAATGCGCCCTAATTGAAATGGGCACCCTCATCAAGAAGCTTACATGTATCTGTCGAACTTAATGTTCTTTTATCTGTAATTACAGACAGGCCCATATTATCTACCTAACTACACGTACTGCGTCAATCCCACATAAACGTTATGAAATTAGAGACGATGGAGTCATTTTTCAATAAAGGTCACACGTCCCACGAACGCTTTCCTATCGTCATTTCCCCCCCCGTGTGACGGAAATGGAGCTATATGTGAGTTCACAGCCGAGCTAAATGGTCTTAATGTGTTTCAGCTGAGGAGGGACCACATGGTCACATATTCAGAAAGGTTAACACACACATTCACAAAAGTGGGGTCATGCATCATGATGCATTGTTGCAGGCAATGACTTAGTCTCCTGTAGTCCAAATTAGACAGAAATGTTAGTGTGAGGCTGTACTCAGGAACTGAAGAGCTAAATGCTGGCAACAAGAGATTTTTCCAGTTCAATCAAGGATGTAACGCGCATGGCGGTGCAAGAACAAGAGAAGGTATAGATTAACAAAACGACATATTTCTCTGGAGACATTAACGGTATGCACAGATGAGTCTAATGAAATTCCAGCGTTTGTCATATTTATATCTCCAAACTGAGTCAGGCCACACATTAAGCTCTAAAAAAAAAACAAAGTAAAACCTCACCATGCACATGTTTCACGTTTTCTTCCCTTCTAACAGCACTTGACAGCTGGTGAATCAATGCGCAGACACACTGCGGAAAGAGGTGGATTTGTTTCCCAGCTAATTACACCGGAGGATCCCAAGCAGAATAATCTGAATAATAGAAAAGCCGGGTTGATAAACACGACTGTTGAATGCTTGCTTACATGTACTCAGTCACCATGTCAGCTCTGTTGTTCCCATTCATTTAACATCAGAAGATAGCATCTATGTAAATCATGTCGGATAATGGGATTAAAACATCCCCTGATGTTATCTTGTTACATTATTCTAAGCATGTATGTATGGCATTTAGATTTTGGCTATTATTCAAAGGACTTAATACTGTTTTTTTCATTTATGGGTGACAGCAATGCATTTTTTTTCCCATCAAAAGCTAGATTTAAGATTATTTTTTAACCTTGAGTCTCATCTAAAAGAAAATACAACATTTTATGGGAGCAGAAAATGCCAGATTTGAGACTCTTTTTTTTTTGAGACTTCTTCAATATTCTGTTTTATTGTTTGCACCCTGCAGGCGAATCCTCTTCCCCTTGAATCGTCTACTGTCTCTGCTTCGCCATTCAACTCTCAAACACCTGTGCACATTTCAGAAATGTTGCCTTTCTTTTCCATACAGTGATTGAGCCGCAGCTCGCCCATTGAAGGACGGTACAAATGGCGCGACGGCGCTGAATCGCGGCGACTGTAATGGAAGAAAGCGGGATTCTTCAGGCGAGGGAGTGATTCATTTACCACGGCACTACATAAGGGCCCCCCCTTTTTTTCTTTCTTCTTGTGGTTGTGCAACAGAAGATTTCACCAAGGGAGCTGCCAATGCCTGTGGGTGTCTTGTAGGCGTTTGGCAGTCTTAGAGGGATGTTATTGTCACATCTGGCAATGTGGGGATGCCAGCGTACTTGGAAGCAGCGCTACAAGTTTAAAGCCTTCCTCACAATATCTTATTCCACGCTTACAATCTGCTGCTAACCCGGGTGATAACAGGAACCCCTTACTCAGATTACATAGCAGCTAATCTACCGAAAGACAAGCTTCAATCCAAAACGCGCACAATCTCCTGTTGCTATCCGTCCGCAGCGCAGCTAAAAGGCTAAAACGTGATTGAGGCTCGTCCTACAAAGGGTTGTGAACCATGGATTCTTTGGTTTCATGCCACGAGCAACCAAGTGCTTAGGTATTTCCAATTATAGGGAATATGTCGAGGCGGCCCTCGGTAATTAAAGCCTAATCATGCTGCTGGATTCAGAGAAGCATCCTCATCAAGCTTTCATTAGTCTGCCTCCTTGTAATGCCCAGCAGCAACCCAACCCCCTTTAGGAATGCTCTGATGGCCTTTTCCCAATCCAGATCCACTTCTTGTGTGTTGTAAGAGTGTACCATCATTCTTACATCTTCCAAGAATGCAACCCTGAAATTTCTAACAGTGGAATCAAAGAAATAAGACAAACAATCATCTCGGTTTATTGTAAGCACTTTAAGCATATTTCAATAAATACCAAAGTAAACTCCATTTGTTTATAAATTGGCTGTTGAAAAAGATTGAAACGATAAGATCCAGCTCAATCGAATGAGACAAAATTCCCATAAAAAGCACTTAGGGCCCAATAACAGATCCAAATCTTGACTTTTACTATGTTTCATCCAGTTATTGGGTTTGATCTCAGATGAATGGTCCACTAGTTAATGGATTGTGTGTACCTCCCTCCAGAGCTGAAGTTTAACCGTAGTGTAATTTTGAACTCTGGAAATAAATTCTGCATTTCACAAAACAATTTATGCAAGGAGTTCTGCAATTCATGAATTAAGTTGGAATAACCCCAAAAAAGGAAACAATTGCAAAACCCTTAAAAAGTTGTGTGCAATTGTCATAGATTCAAACCAGTTTCTCATGTGTTCTCCCACTCCAAAAGTTGCGAAAATATATTAATAAGCATGTGTGCTTGTTTCCCCCTCCAGCTCCTGAATTCTCTTACACTTCAGAGAAACATTTTCAATGGAACTACGGCTGAGATCCTGTGTTTTTCGGAGCGAACGAGAAGCTGGATATGCTGGTGGTCTCGTGCTCCAGGAGAGATCAACGAGAGCGCCGTGTGAGAGCACCTGGCTGTTCTCTACGCTGCCTGTTTGACAGACAGCACAGACACCTGGAAGCCCGGTGAGAGAGCAGCAGTGTGAAAGCCACTGCTGCTCTACAGGGCCATGCATTATGCACGAATCCCTCTCTCTCTCTCTCTCTCTCTCTCTCTCTCTCTGCCCCCTGCTCTGCAGTAAAAATAGATCAACAGACCTGAGCGTTCAGCTCTTTTTTTTGTGCCTCTCACTTTCTCTTGGATCTCACCAGGTGTGTGGCGTCTTCTGGCTCCCGACTCGCGTTTCTTCGCCTGAGTGTTTGTGTATTTGTGTGCATGTTTTAACATGCGTGTGTTTGCACACTTTTGAGAGTGTGTGGATTTGCATGTGCTCTGAATGAAGATTGTGTGCATGTCAACCAGGGTGAGACTGTTTTTATCAGTGTGCCTCTGCACATGGTTTTTAATAAGAGCGGGATATTAGTCTTGCAGAGGTGTTTTCTGATATTATGGGGGAAAGGAGGATAGGATAAAGGATCCTTGGTGGCATTTCATCTGTAAAAGCTGGCAGAAAAACTTCAGTATAAGACCAAAAGCGTGTAGACACTCTTCCCATTATCTCCTCTGCAAATAGGGCTGAACACTGACACTTACAATTCAAACCCAGGCTCAGTTATGACAATGTTCTTGTGCATTATTCAAAGCTCATGATCTTGCACATAAATGAATCTCTACAGGAAGCGATTTTTGATGTTGGAAGTGTTTTAGTGTTGGTGTGTAGTTTGAGTAGTATCATTCTCATAGCTTCTTTTTGGATTGCCCACACAAAAAAAAAAAAAAAAAAAACATATATTGGGGAGAAACAAAGAGCAGACAACAGTGCTCATCATGCAATCCAGAACCATCTCTATGCAGATAACAATCTCATCGCTGACACTGTATTTCAAACCCCAACTCAATTCTTGCATCTTAACTTGCTAGTTGGACTATAAACAATGGCAAGTCTGGAAGCCAGGCATTGGTTCCTGTTTTTTCCCCCAGAAAGTCTTAGCAGGGGGTGCCGGTAGCCCAATGGTTAGTTTGATCGCCCCATGTATGGGGGCTATAGTCTTCAAAGCGGGCCGCCGATGTCCGAATCTGACCTGTGGCTCCTTTCCTGCTTGTCATTCCCTATCATTGATATGACCCTATCTGTCCAATGCTTGACAGCTATTCACTAGAAATCCACCAGAGACCCAGTTAAACAGCTGCTTTATTCCATCATGACTCTTATATGTATGTGTACGCATGCATCACAACACTGCACGCTCATGTTTGTGAAGGTCCCCTGTTGCTGAGTGCTGAGGCTCCCTGAAGACCATTGATCCGTGTCTATGACCACAGAGGTCCCCGACTCCGCCCTGATTGCCGCTCCACTGCTAATTAAACAGTCCTGCTTAACGAGGTTCACGTTGGTAACAAGGTTGGAGGGAAAGGTCACCCCATCACGCTAGCTTCAACTGGACATCGTCAATAACGAGCCTGCCTACAGAAGGACAGGTACACACACACTAACACACACACTAACACACACACACACACACAGCTAATGATCCAAAAGGTAACAAAAGACTTAGAGCGCATGTTTCAGTGTTCTTGGAAAAGAAGACATTTACCAGAATGTGCTGCCGCAGACTTCTTTGAGCCTTTCACAATGCTATTCTTCAGTGACTTAGTATTTGATCGTTCTTCCTCATTTCTTCACGTTTGAAAAAGCATTTGGTCCACACTCTGAAACTGAAAAGTCTCCAATAAAACTGGGACTAATGGCATTCATTTGGTGCAGTCGTTCATTAGCTGTGCTTAAAGGGTATTGGTGGTTTTACATGTTGCAGCCCATTAACTCTAAATTTATATACCCATAACCATTTCCCAAAGCACACAATTAGACTTTTAGAATCCAATTAAATCATGAAACCCAACTTGACCCTTGCTTTTTTTTTTTCATTATTTTTGGCCACTGTGGCAGGTCGGTAGAACTGCCTTGCTAACATTAAATAAGGCTACATTCAGTGAGTATAAAGCATCCTCTGCCCTTTTTAAGAATTCCTTTATAACAGCTGAAAACTCACTGAATGCTAAGCTAATTGAATAAATGGTTGAGTTGAGTGCATCCAGTTTTCTCAGAGATTAACCAGATTTTACGATTGATTGAGTTCTTTTTTTTTATTCCTATCAAAATGAAAAAAGTGAAAGTTACCATCACACCGGGCCCTAGCTTGATTATGTCAGCTGCATGAGTGCATTAGCTCTGTTTGTGTCGAGCATCAGTTTTAAGGTTTTTACAAGCACTAATACGGAACTGTTTTTGAGCATACGTCTATATCCTAAAGTGTTTCATTTCCAAGAAGAAATGATTTGAAATGACCCTTAAATAAAAAGCAGAAGTGCAGATCGCATGATTGCTTTGTATGAATCGCTGAAATATTTCCCAATTCATTTTTTCTTTCATACAGCAGGACTGTTCTCCATAAGAGGCGAGGGCGTTAGCTGTGTTTTTCAGCCAGGCCTGCGAACGTCCACACAACACACAAACCCAGAGCCGGGCGCACAAACACACGACCTATATATACTATCTGGCCTTCTCATCATTTATCTTACAGCGGCAGAATCAGGATAGATCGGTTCAATTAGACTGGCCTTTAATGTAATCTGTTTAATCCATTTCTATCATCAAAGCCAATACCTACCTCTCTCCTTGGAGAGCGGGATTAGCCCCTCCAAGTGCATCTCGGAGAGCGAGCGTCTCGGCTATAAAAACGCAGCCTCGGAGTCGCTGAGATCTCCTCGATATTTGCTCTTTACAACCGGCTGTGGAGCAAACAGAGTGTCTCGAGTGAAGTTTTAATGGGTAAGGATTTAAGATGTTCATATCCTCGCAGAGATTGCGACCGCCGTTTGGCACAATGCACAGTGCCGTAATAAAAAAAAAAAAGAAAAACACAGGAGAAGTTTGACGCGTCCTTTTTCTCTTTTCTGCTCGCAGATTGCTGAGTTGAATTCATTATCAGTCCTCTCCATTTCATGTTAATATGAGAATGATCAGTCTATTATCATACTTCATGCAGTTTAATTACTGGGCAAGATCACCTGAGCACCCAAGCAAACCGTCACCATATTTTTTGGTCTTAATAGACAGAAAGAGAATATAGCTTCATGAGGTTTTGCCTCTTTTAGTGATTTCTCCAAAGATATTCACAGTTAACACAGCGTCTTTTTGCTCATGTTCCTTAACAAACATATTGAAAAACAACTGTTCCAAGCCGCTTCAGAGCTCCAATTCTGATGCCTTCCGTTTCCCATTTGTAGATTTCCGTGCTACCTTATTGAAAAAGTGTCTTTAAGCACCCAGGGGGGCTGTGAAACCCATTCAAAATCCATGACAAATTCTCCCCCCAAAAATGTCTGGCTGTCAATGCGGCAACGAGACTGTTTTCGAAATTCATGGATTTCATCCAACAGCTGCAATCTGCTTTTACCTGCTGAGATTTCCGCGGGGAAGTGGGATTTCATTCGCAATACCCATCTATCCATCCCCCTACCCTGCATGTCTCTGTGCTGGCGCTGTCAGAAGAAAGAAGATGCACAGGTATTTACTACAGCTGCTATTTTAGGCTGCAAATGCATTTTTTTTTAAGAGAGTCTGCTTACACTCTGTCAAACTGTTATTTACTGGGTGAAATCAGGATTCTTTTCCCTGCACCTGCCTTTGTGACAAAAGCAGTTTAAATACACTATTTGGTATATTTTGTACTCCTCCTCTTGTGGATTACCTGCGTGATTGCCTTCCAGGAGAATTCCCCCATGCAGCATTAGCAACACTGCTCGTCACAGTCGATGGAAGAGCTCCCATAGCTCTTTTTACCGTGTCTGGAATGCCTGCAGATATTAAAGCAATACATGAGGCGGCTTGTCTGAGCCCATTGACTTTGTGTTTTTAATGGCTTCTGTTCGCGTGCGTTTTTCAGAGATGTGCGAGGACACTTCAATGAGAGTTGGTGGTAAAGACTGTGCGATAAAACGGTTAAGTCTGGGTAGGCTTGTGGAAGACGAAATTGTCCACCAAAGCCTGTTCATCATGCTTTCACTACACACATACACACACACACACACACACACGCAGTAGACAGTGTTTTGACTCGAGCGGAGCTGACAGTTTTGATCAAAGTTGATTGATTGGACTACACAAGGCAGGGTAGCACATAGCAACATGGTGGGGTTAAGAGGTTGGTGCTCCTGTGGCTTCTGCACCCCCCGTTTGTTAACACAATCCAAATTGCAAAGCATATTTGACAATGGATATTGATTAGGCGAATGGGAAGGATCAATGCTTGTTGATTAGGCAGAAAATATAGGGGGGAAATCTGTCAGCGACTGTTTAGGAGGTTTAGACATAAATAGTTTTTTTTTTAAATGCTTTAAAACATTACATGAATATACATATAGACTTAGCCGTCTGAATCATATAAATATTAGTTCCATCCATCCATCCAACTTTTTACCCTGCATGTGGATCAAAAGAGGGCCAAGAATGGAGCCTTGGGAAACTCCGCTTCGGTTTGTAAACTTAGGCCACGTTTAAATCAGACGTCCAAGACTCTTTCAGGGAATACCGCGTAAATAATTTACAAATATGCTTGAAGGTGTATGCTTGATGTTTGAATAATAAGTCAAAAACAGATTTATAAATCAATCAAAGCCTAATTATTAATCCAAATAGAAAAGCTTTGATTATATGAGACATGGCATCATTCTAGTGTATAAATTAATCAGACATATATTTTTATCCACACATTTCTTTTCTCCAAATATTCCTATTATCATGTAGCCCGAGGCTAGTACATCAGTATGCCAAAGAAACCACGCAAAGGGAGATTAAATGAGGAAATAAACTGATGATTTCAGTGCAGAAACTAATGTGTGAATACTATGTGGCTCAACGGTAAGGAGGTCTACTTTCCCTTTCAGCGCTAAAGCATTAATACATGTGCATTTACTGCCATCTGCTGTTTTCTGCAAGCAAGTGCATGCAAAAACTGTTCATGCAAAAAAAAAAAAAAGGGCATTTGTCAATGGCTGCTCATTGCTTCAGAATTTTATGTTCAAATTAGGAATATTTGTCCTTAAGTGACTCTCTATGGGAGTTATACCTCTATAGTCCTCTAGGCACAATAGTTGTATGTATACCCTTTACACTGAAAGTGTTTTTTTCAAAACATGAAGAAACAATCCTTAACTCGGTCAAGCAATGGAAGGTTCCTTCTTTAATTACAGGCATGTTTATTTCTGGCAGGAGACACAGCATGAAAAGCAGGGACCGTTTCAGCTCTGGAAGTTAATGTGTAACTTGGTGCTCTTATAAGGACGAGCTCAAACTGCAGAGTCATAGTATTTGGTAGGTTTGGCACTTCGGCGCCAGAAAAATGGCTGTGAAGCTCTTTGAGGGGAAAGATCATGCAGCGGCGTACCTGCAGTACAGAGTAGCACCCCATGAACTAATCAGCAGGATTATGAGCTTCATGGAGACGAGGGTAAGTGTGGAGGTTAGGGGTTTCAACTTCTAATAGGGTATGCATGTGTATGTTTTGATGCTGTTTTATGGTGTCTTTAAGACTTTTAATTTAGGTTAGGTTATTTTTTGACAGCTCTGGAAAGCAAGAGACAAATCTAAATTAAAGTGCCAACTGACATTCACTCTACATGAACACGTTTCTTGGTATGTGGTGACTCTAAAGCAGTTCAATGGGTTTCATCTTTAGGAGAGGAAGAGCTGTTCGCTTAAAGGTCAAAGTTTTTGAGCCACACCAATAAATCATTGCACTTAATGTTTCACTGGAGATGTGATTAATCTCAGTTTAATGATTAATTGAAACAATAATGTGACATAAAATGTAAACTGTATTGTTACATAAAGTTTGTGTTGGAGGGTAAGATAGGAAGGGTTCTTATGACTTGACTTGACTTGACTTGGTAACTTTTTAATGCAAAATTGTCTTGATTGAGGTAGATTTCGGGGTAGAGATTTGATACTGAAGTAGTTATATGAATGTAACTTTCCTTATTTTAGACCAACCACTTCAAACTTGCAGTAGATGTAGGCTGTGGTTCTGGTCAGGGGACGATCCCATTGGCTCCACATTTCGCCAAGGTTGTTGGAACAGACATCAGTAAGGCCCAGCTGGAGATGGCGCAGGTCAATAGCAACCCTCCAAATGTATCGTACAGGTGAGACGAAGGGAAGGTGTCAGAGTTGAAACTAGCATTTCCAAGATGGCCTTTTTTTTTTAATTATCATGATGTTGGAAACATTTTTCCAGATTCCAGAGTCCTTCCTCTTTCCCGTTACATTTTTCTGACCACTCTCCAGGCATTGTCCAGCAGAAGAGCTGCCGTTCGCCTCCGGTGAGGTCGACCTTGTGACGGCCATGACGGCGGCCCACTGGTTCGACCGCCAAAAGTTCCTCCTGGAAGCTGACAGGGTCCTGAGGCCAGGAGGCTGCCTGGCTCTCCTGAGCTACACCATGGACCTGGAGTTGGAGTTTGGGGACGTCTCGGACACGCTCAATGACATTTGTAAAGAGGTGCATAATCCAGTTACTAGACATTTGGAACAAGGAAAAGTTTGGACATTTTTCAGCTTTTATCCGATACTGGTCATTAAATCCTGTCCCCCCCCCCTTGTTTGAATCAGTTTTATGCTGCCCTGCTTCCATTTCGAGATCCCTACATAGGATCGAGCTCTAGGCAGATCTATTTAAACATGCTTGAGTCCTGCTCTTACCAAGACAAAGAATGGTGAGTGTTTTGGACTTTACTTACAAAAAGATCTCACTGAAAATGTTTCATGTGTTCTGTGTACGAGTTTTTCTTTTAAAGGCAATGAAAACGTTCCTACAGCCATGGATTGGTGGAGTAAAGCATTCGAGTCAGACATGTATAAGCTGTGACATTTGGGAGTTATCTGGCACAGAGCAGCTTAAACCTGAGCAGTTGGGGGTCCTGCTCAGGGGGCATTTCAGTGTGTAGTCAAGGGATAGAAGAGTGTTTCGTATTCCTCATGCCTCTCCAATTCCCCCCCAAAAATCATTCACAAGATTACATTCAATGAAACATTTTTTTTAACATGTATTTGATGGTTTTATTACATTTTTGTGTGCAGGAATGAGTGTTTCAGGGTAAAAAATACCTTGCCACTGAGCAGTTACATCGGCATGGTTCAGACCTTCTCCTCCTTCGAGAAACTGCGCAAAAAGGACCCCGCCGAGGCCGAGCGTCTTTCTGACGACATCAGGAACAAGTGAGATATTAACCTCCAACTCCATCCACAAGTCTAATCTTTAACTTTTGGCCCCTGAGCCCTCACCTCAGCACGACGCTGATCTCCTAATCTCCCTCTCCGAAAGCATTTATCACCATCAAAAACTGCTGAAAGTTCGTCTTTGAATACTGTCACAGTCTTGGGCATTAATCAGAAAAGCCAAACATTGCTTGACTAAGCTTAACTGTTGAAGGCTTTTACTGCTTTGATAATATAGACGCCATTAATTCCCCTACCACTGACAGGACAGAATAGCCCAGCAAGCAAAATATATAGAGGGGAAGTGCTGAGCCATAACTTTCACATGGATAAAAAAAAAGTATGACATTGTATTTAATTACTATCAGACTTTGTGGAAGATTTACGCACAGCTCGGCTCTCTTTGTCTGGGAAGAGTTGACCTGTGTTTAGTCTTGCATGGTGTTAAGGAATGACTTTAGAGGTCTCAGCTAATATATTACTTCAACTATTTTGCTAATAATCCAATAAGTTTCAATACTAAATCATTTTGTCTCTTCTTGTTCTCCCCCAGGTTGCTCTCTGCTATGAAGGCGTCTTCTCCGGAAACCGAAGTTACAGTTGTTGTGAAGTATTTCTATTGGTTGGCTAGCAAACCTTAGACCAACGTTTTTACTGTATCTTGTGGCCATTAGCAACCAACCAAAAGGCTTATTGTGATCCTTTGTTAGCAACTGTAAAATTGCAAATATGCCTTATATTGTGATGATATAGCAAGTAGAGAAATGCACTTAAAAGCTCTTAACCCACTCCTAAGAATTACAAGATACCCTCCCAGTCTTTGTTGGATGGATGTTTCAAGATGGTTAATAAAAAGCTGCACAAAAATATAGAACTGGATGGAACAACCATGTTTTAAGAGTTTTTAAATGTATTGTATCATTTTATGGACTTCTTATTTTGGATTAATAAACTTCTATTACTATATCATGGCATTTCTGGGTCCCAGTTTGGAAACCAAAGCTGTAGGTTGTATTAACAAAAACCTATGCAGCCCAGTGTGTTTTGCTATTATTCTGACATTGAAATTGCATTAAAATACAAAGTTGCATCCTTTTAAAAGAAACATGTTGTATAAATCTTTTTGAATACAGATATAGGACATAAAGTTGCATGTTTAATGATGTCCGGGAGTTTGAATTTGTATGTGAATACAAAGCTTTTCAGGTTGAACACTAGATGGAGCACTGTCATAAAGTGATGGAAGAGTGTCCAGCTGAAGTCTACTTGGTGCCTTATGTACAATCAAAGTGATGGCCATATTTTGATGCTTACAATCTAAACCATCAATTATTCTTGCACATTAATATATTTTTTCTGTTTGGAATTTAAGTGTATTTGATGAAAATTAATTTGGCAATTTTTCAAGTCTACATCTAAAGCTGTGATAAAAAATAATGTCATTTAATATCTTTCTCTAAGAGTCTTAAAGACAGCAGATGATTTCTGATGAGAATCAAACCACCATTGGGTTTGTCTTTCCTCATTTAAAAAAAACAAAAACATTAAAGGACACTGACACTTCCCCCCCAGTACTCCTTTTCCTCACATTTCTCCTTTCCAAGTTTATACCAGTCATTCATCCAAGTCTTCGTGCCTCCCTGAGTGTCTTCCTCTCCAGTGTTATTTATGCTTTCACAGATTGTTTAGGGCCACGAGAACAGATGGTAATTAACATGCATGGCCTCAAAATCCCTTGACTCACAAAGGCGTAGTCATTTTCCCCTGACAAACTTTGACATTTATCCGCTACAAGTGACTGCACGGATAAATTCTCATTTTATACCAAATAGAGATTTTATGACATATTATTACAGTTCGGTCAAACAGCTGCAGTCAGTTTTTCATCTAATGCACAAAATTTACAAAGTGGCCATTTTACTCTGAAGTCACACCCACATGTTTCATGGGAAGCAGCCCTCATTTGAATGCTCCTTAATTTATAATCAACTTACTGGATAATGGATCATACAAATCTTGAGGAGTTTCTGGTCACATTGAAGTTAAAATGTTTGTTTGGTATGAAAAGCAAGCTCACAACAGCTAATGTTAGCATGCGACACATTTCAAGAAAAAAGCACAACAATTGGCCAACAAAAACACTATTAGCTTGATAACTTTCCTGACAGCTAGCTAACATTTCTGCTCGCTAGAAATTACACCTTTTAATGTATCATCACAATCAAATGTTATCTCTGAACATATTCAACACATGCAAAGCCAGCAGCTTGCTAGCAAACAATACGTAAGCTAGCAAGGGATTAATAAAGTATGAAAGAGAAAGGTGTAAAAAAAAGTTTCTGTTTGCTAGCAAACATTAACCTACTGCTAGCTAGGATACTGTATTTACCTAGTGAACAATAGAGCTACTGTCTAACCAGCTAGATGACATTATTTGTTAGCTTATATTACTGCTAGCCAGAAAGTAAGCCTGTAACTCAATCAAATGTTAATGCTAAAAACTAATTTCATGAAAACAAGCAAAAACATCTGCTTGCCAGCTGACCGCTTTCTTGAAATTGCACCTTTCCTATCTTATCCTGTTACGCAATCAAATGCAAATGTTATCAAGGAAGTTATTTAACACCAACTTAAGCTTTTGCTGTGCAACATCTAACCAATTGTCATACAAAAACAAAAGCACAGCAGTACAACATTAACATTTCAGCTTTCAGTGATGTTGGGGGAAAATGTCAGCTGATATGGTGAATAACAGTGAGTAAGTGCATTTATTAAACAAATTAACAAAAAAAAAACACTATTACGCTTTGTTTCTGTCTGTAATGAGTCCATCCATCCAAAACCCAGACTTTATAAAACCCCCTCTGTGCGTTTACTTCTCCACACCACCAGGGCAGTCATGAGCAGCGTGATCAGGACTGGCACTGCGATGAACGGGGCGAGGATGCCAATGGGCGGGTCGTGGAGGAGCCGGCCGGTCAGGGCGCAGTCGTGGAAGTAGACCCGATGAACCTGCATGAAGAAGCGATCCACTACCTGATTGGGCCAGAAGCAGTCCACCCTCAAGGCCACCTGGTAGGTGCAGTTTGTAAGACCTTCGTAGATCCTGTAGAGGGCGACAACACACATTTAAGTCTACCTAAATGAATCCACAAAGTAAAAAAAAGAACAAGTGAAATTTCAAAATCCATTCTCTCCATTCTGAGTTACACAATTCAAAAATTACAGCCTCTCATTGGTCCTTTGAAACGTCTTCTTTTAGACACCAGAGTAGGGATTCCTGTTGGTCTGAAAATAGGCAAACAAGCATCTAGAGTTACTCATGGGCTTATTGCAGCTAAATTTAACTGCTAGGTGGAAGAGGGCAGGAGAAATGGAGACGCATACCAACAGCATTGCCCCATACCAGTAGAGATTCTGTTCCTGATGGCTGCTGTGTTTAACTGCATAGCTGAAGGCCAAGTGGGCAAGTGGTCAGAAAACCCCATAAAGGACCTTTCAACTTTAACTTTCCAAGGGTTGTATCAACCGTTTAATATATTATCTCCTCCCTTTCTTATTTTAATAACAGATCAATATTATAAGGTTTAAATACTTCAACCACCACAATGTACAAATGAAAGTCTCATGGGTTAGTCTGAATGTGCTGTAGCTTGTTGGTGACACAACTTCGTTTTTCCATGCCCCTCAAGGTTACAACGCTGGATCAAAATAATGATCTCTGGGCCTCTCTTTAGCTCCTCCTCTTCCCCAGAATTTGATTTGATCCAAGTTTATTGAGTTGAGTTATTTGATTATGGGCAAAACATGTCTTTTTAAAATTGTCTTAAATAATAGCATTTTTGCAATTAAAAAATGCATGATTGGCGGGTCGTGGAGGAGCCGGCCGGTCAGGGCGCAGTCGTGGAAGTAGACCTGATGAACCTGGATGAAGGAGCGATCCACTCTCTGATTCGGCCAAAAGCAGTCCACCCTCAAGGCCAGATGGTAGGTGCAGGATTAACTTTTATGTTTTCATTACTTTGAAGCATAAAATACATTTCACATAAACTCTGGAAATAGGAATTGCCTGAAGTTATAGTCACACATATACCAGTGAACTGATGTATGTACTGTCCCTTTAAGTACAGAATTATACAGTGTGTTTTTTGTGTGAGTGGCAGAGTCCAGTTGTTGGTGTCTGCATTTGTACTTCAAATGACTTGTAGATTTCCACCCTACACTTTAATGCTTCTTCGAGCAATCCATCACCACCTGAAGCTGTTTCTGAAACTCACATTGCCAGCTGTAACACCTCAGATCAGAATTAGGATTAAATTCAGAGGTTAAAACGTAGGATGTGGACTAGTGCTTGAGGTCATGATTAGGGATTGGACTTGTTTGGGTAAAAGTTTGAGGTTAAAGCCAAGCGGCTCTCACAAGCATGTTTTTACATATGTTGACTTTGGAAGGTGTTTCAGTCAATACATAGTACTGCTGTCATTGTGTTGCTTTGAGCAATGCAACATGCTAATGATGCAATCTTGTTCTATTTTGAATCATAATTTGTTTCTTGAGTCTCAAACTAACAAGTAGTTCTCACGAGGGGAATAAAGTATCGAGAAAAGCTGCAAACAAACAGAGTATCACACACAGTACACCCACACACCAACGTGCACTTACACAAAAACACACACATTCCAAATGAACAGATTCAGTGGTTTTTAAATCCTTACGATAATCTGATTGCAAAATCAAAATTTGGCACTAAAATCTCAAGTGTTAATTAGACTGAAATCACATTCCTTCAATAGTGAACTTTTGCATTACTCTTGAGCACACCTACATTGTCTTTGGGTCTTAGTTGTGATTAAGGTGAACTCACAGAGGGTGCTTACTTTGTTCTTGGAGAAAGACCGACACCATTAACAAATAAGTACAATATGTGCTTACAGCTGAGCTAGCAGAGTCAAAATGAACCATATTTTCTCCAGAAGTCGTTCCTTAATTAAACATATGAAACTCTTTCGCTTTATATTAGATATCATTGCAAGGTGTTGTGTCATCCGAGTCAGACGCAGTTAAAGGACTGCAAAGATAATGTGTGTAATTAGTTTCATATAAGCCTTAACTTTATGTGAAGAATAAACAAGTAGAATATTTTAAATCAGAGGATAGTCTTTCTTGGAATACTGCACTGGATCTTTGGTATCCAAACCTATGGAAACCTTTAGTTGAACTGTTTCATAAATGAGAAGACTTTTCCCCTCTTCTTGGCAGACATATTGTTTTGACTGTGACAAACTTGGAACAGATTTATGGTGCTGGATGGCATACAATGAAACATAAAACCGGTATTAATATATATGTCCCTTTGCTCTGTTTGGATCTCACCTGAATGTCAAAGTGAATACACTGTCACATTATAAAAAACAACGCCCCCCCAATGTATTGGACTTGATGCACAGATGTGAGTGTTTTTATTATTTCCCACTTGACTAATTAGAATTATTCATACTCTGATTAATACAGGCTGCCAGTGTAAACAGCAAAACAGCCAGAAATGACCAGCTGCAGAAAATAGAAGCACACCTCTCAATCAATTTTCACCCAAGTAATGAAGTAAAACAGCTAGGTCAATGTCTCAAGTAGTCAAAATGTGAAGCTGCAGGTACCCCTCTGCACTGTACTAACTCATTTATTAGATTCTTGCTTCACAGATTGAGCCAAGAGCTTGTAGACTGTCCCAGTTGTGCTTTAACCAATTTGTCTTACCTCTGTTTTGTAACCAATCTGCAATCATAGCCTTTTGGTTTCAGTGTCTCTAAATTGGTCTGCATGCGCTCAGAAGGCTTATTTGTGTTGTTCTATTTTATATTCTGCATGGTTTATTTATTGGGTGCACAGCCAGGTCTCCAGTGGACCTTGACAAAAATTGTTGCTAGGAGTTTGGTGACGCAACTGCCAACCCACTATGTGCCAGTGCAGATTATTTTTTATATGATGAGTTACAAATGCACAAAAACACACACACAATCTCACACTACCACCAATTATGTGCTGGACCAAGAGGAGGACAGTGAGCCAGGAGGGAAATCACAGTTTTGACAGCAGCTTCTCCTGTGGGCCTCCTGTCTGACTCATCCTCTGACTGCCAGTATTTGGAGAAAGCACCGCTCAGAGACACAATCTGACACAAACACACAATATAATGTTCAGCAGAGGCACTAAAAGGCCGTGACCGTGCGATGGGACTGTTGAAACATGGACTGGAGTTTGTGATGGCCTAAAGGCAAACGCATCAGATAGTGTCAGGGCAACATATTGTGGGTAGCATAAGTCAAGACTCACAACATTATTCTAGCACAAACCACTTGTCCTCCAGGGAGAAAAAACTTGCTTTGCTCACAAACTATTCTGTGTGCTGCACGTAATGCCTTTATAGTGTGCACGCTCATGTTTTATTTGCCTTGCTCAGACTGATCTCCATTTGACTTGATTTGGGTGGCCAATAATACTGTCAATCTTAATGTGGGCGGGTTTAAGAGCTGTAGCATTAACTAAATATCCAAGATGACCGTCACCAATGTTGAACTTTCTAAATCCCTCATTTGGTCAGTGTAAGTCTAACTGGATGGAAGTTTCCTGGGTGGTAGTGTTATAGTAAATGTTGGATTCTTAATCATGTCATGTCAAAAGTCTGAACTAGAAGGCTTATGAATTTGATGTTGATAAAAGCGACCTAGCTTAGCCTGGCAGCTTTCCACTACAACACTCCGCTGTGTCTCATTACAGGGGTAGTAACCATCCAAGGACCCAGCCTTTGTAGCCCCAAAGCCCGCTCAGGTTGAACTGAAATGAGACAGACTGGTCTACCGAGGCTTTTGTGTCACTAGCTGTTTCAACCTTACCCTTTTGTTTCCAAGCTCCCTGTCGCCTCACAATCTCGACAGTTACACCAGAACCATTTTTTTGATATCTGTAGCTTTTGAGCGATTGAGTTTAAACCAATTGCTTACATTTCGAACTCTATTACCCGGCCACTTGAGAGTCCACCAGCTTGTTTGAATTGGTGCACAAGGAATCGTGGGATTTATTGAGCCATGAAGGAAACGCGGGATGAATCCTTCATTGTGCGAGGGAAAGGAAGATGCATTTGTCAGCCACATTTGAAGGAGCCTTGAAAACGGCGCTTGCGGCTTTGGCGCGATCGGTGTGCAGAGGGCAAAGGATGAAAGCCCCTGAATTGGGACTCAGCTTCTTTCTCAATCAAGTAAGTGTCCCAGGCGTTTTGTATGCTCCAGTTGAAAACACCCCTTTGAGATTGGAAATGAACTCCAAGACATTTGCAAATTGCTCTGGGAATACCTTAATTAACTTAATTAAGGTTGTTGTCAACAGAGTTGTACCCACCCTTTTGCCATAAATATAATTTTCTTTGACTAAATTGAACACGAGTAGGAACTTCTTACTTCCCTAGTATTTCCTTTTATCCCCATTGATAACCTTTTATTACCACTTTGCCCTCTCTTTTTGCATGACCCAGTAGTTCAACTCACTCTGTGGTATGGGGCCAGCTACACCACAGGCCAGGGTCCAGTCCTGCCATGTCGAACCTGAACTTAGCCAGGCAAAAATCATTGATCATCCTCTCGTAGAAGCCTCCATTACAGGCGGACACCGAAGGCAGGACGAGAGCTAAAGCAGCAAAGAGAAAGGAGACAAAAGAAACAAAAGGCATTCATCAAGGTATTCATTTGTGGATGAGAATTCTTTCACGGTGATATGTGGTGATTGCAACTCAGCATCGTTGTAAAGATACAAACCTTTTTTCAAAGCACTGCAGGGGTTATCTGCAGGGCTCAATTAGGATAATTAGGAATGTGCAACAAACAAGGTCATGTCCTGGCAATGCTTATTCCTATCGGACCATTTCTTCCCGATTAGGCTGTTACTTTGCCCAAGAAAAAGATTTTAATTTGCAGTCGGATCCAAATCCCATTTGTTTACTTCAGAGATGCGTGTAAACAGCCTCTTAACGTGGAGGCGGTCCGCAGCCGTCCCGCAGGACTCTGAGCGGAATGTAACACCACTGAGCAGTGCAGTAAGAGAGGAGGCTCATAAGCTGTCGGGAAAGGCCCGTGTGGAACGAACAGGTTGTTTTGTTACGATCGGGAAACATGGCGGATCTCAGTCTGTGCTGGCCTGATAAGGTCCGACTGTGTGCCTATTATGTTTGCTCTGTCTCAGCTGGAGCTCCAGGCTCTCAGAGACTCAAAGGAAGACTGTTGACAAGAGGATTTCAAATGAGACACTACAGGAAAAAAAGAAAAATGGGAGCCCCGGCAGCATAACATTCACACATTTTTACATTTTCAAACGGAGGCTTGAGGCGCTTGAATAAAAAAAACTAAGGTAATGTTTATGAGACGTTCACACACATTGTAAAGCTGCACACATAAATTCGAATTGTGTCTGTTAGTGTTTTCATTTTCGTCCCTAGTTTGAAGGATGTTCTATTCCACCTGTCCGTCCATCTATTTGTTGGCAGACGCTCTCAGAGAGATCTGACATTCAAGCGTTCAAAGATGCCGTCAAACTTGGCTGCCTACCAGCATTGCATTCCCTGTTCCATTTCCAGGAGAATGAAGGCAAAAACATTACAAATGCTACTGTGCTGCTATTGGCTTACAGTTTGTAGACATTTAGGGTCGAGGAAGCACCCATCAGTTTAGCCAGTGTCTTGAATTCTGCCTGCACTGAGTCGATAGCTATGGACTTTTAAAAACGATGCCCATGGGGTATGAAATGATCTTTCCAGCTCAGATGTCATTCATGTTTAACCAGCTGCTGTGCTGCTCAGCATGAGAAGCTCATTTTCAGATTCTCACACTCATCTCGGGGTGAAAGTGAATCACAGTGATAGTAGCTTTTGAGAAGAGGAAAGTGCTGGACACACCGGTCCTCCCTAGACACAAGCGTTTGTTTTCAGTCCTTATGGGGACTGTTGTCTGAAGCTGGTCCTCGGACACCTTCAGGTGAGAGCCCCCACTTAATCTATAAAACCAAATCATCATCTGGAATCCAGCTGCTCATAGCAAATCAAGGAAAACAGGATATATGAACACAACACATGCACAGGCTTTGACTTTAAAAATATACTGATACAAATATATTAAAATAAAATAAAATCCAATATGATATCCAAAATGCATTCTCCCTCAAAGATAGATAAAACTAGTTAACTTTAAGTTATATGGAAGAACTTTACAAATCACCGACACTCACCTGCCAACAACAACACCAGTCCCACTTTCAGGAGTGACGCGCTCTCCAGAGCCATGCTCAGCTCCCTCTCTGGAGATCAACTGCACATATCTCTCTCACTATTCCTTCAGTTTTTTAAAGCCAGATTCACAAACTGCACCACAACATCGCAAACAAATGAAACCGTAGCTCCTGTTGTGCGGTCAAAAAGAAGGCGGCAACTGTGCGTGAAAAAAAAAAACCTTGACCTTGCACAGTGGCCGCCTCACAGCCCTAATCATAGAAGCCCTGCTGTCATCTGATCCCGTAACAGCATGGAGCTTCTCACAGGGGACGAAACAAAGTCAGTGGACACATTTAGTGCCAGTCAAAATGAAACCAGGGACACGCAGCCCTTATTTGTATAGCATATAAGTTATAATAAATTATGTTAAAGTGGTAAGCATTAAAAAGTAATAAAGTCACTTAAGTCACTTACCATGTTATGCAAAATCCACTTTACCATGTTTTTTCTAAAACTAATATGTGTCCCTGGTCTTTCTACAAACCCCCCCAATTGTCGTAAAGGTCCATCCTCTCCGTCTTTTTCCAACACTTTTTAGTAAACGTGTGCTCAAACAGGCCGTTTGGAGATTTTCCCTTCATGACATCACAAAGCGCAGTAGCACCTCCCCCAGGTGGGTGACACTCCCACAGCTAGGTGTTTGTTCTGCCCTCTGAGTCTGCCTTCTCGCCGGAAACAATAGAGCATGGAGCGAGAAGGCCCTAGCCACATCCCCTTCGAGAGAGGGGGCGTGGTCAGACACTGCTCATTTACATATTTAAAGGTACAGACTCAGAAACAGCCTGTTCTGAGCAGGGCTGAAATAGAGGGGTTTATAGACATGACAAATACAGGATCAGAGTGGATTTAGAACAAGAGACTTCACACACATGTTTTAGGGAGCTCTGAGACTTATTTAAACTGGTTGAATTTTTTTTTATATTGACCTTTAATATGTTATTGTTAAAAAAATTATGAGGGTGGGTAGCTTAAGTGATTAGTGGGTGTGCCCCATGTGCGGAGGCTATAGTCCTCTAAGTGGGCAGCTCAGGTTCGAATCTGACCTGTAGCTCCTTTCCAGCATTAAATCTCCTCTCTCTCTCTCTCTCTCTCTCTCTCCCTGATGTCTGACTCTATCTACAGTCCTATCTTTAAATAAAGGCATACAAAATTGAAGATTTAGAAGAATATCATGGTAATATTATGGCACGAAATATCTCTACTACAGCCTTTCTCTTCAAAAAACACAATTATTGCAGTTTATAATGTAAAATCAGAATTCCATGTTCTTTAATTTGCATTAATATCCCTGCAGAGGCCTGCTGTAAGATATCACATCATACAACTCATTACATTTTTTAATCAGAAGGCCATTTGTTACGTTTTTCCTCTTTCTTTTTAAATAATACGTAATGGATTACTTAGATTATCCCCCTTCTCTGTGAGCCATTCCCATCAAACCGGAATTTGGACTCACACAGGGACCCATTTCACAAAGCACAAAGACACAATTCCCATCTACATGTCACACTCCTATCAATGCAGATCTCCCGCTCAGCTCTGTAATGTCTCTAATTGAATGTTTTATCTGCAGATTTCTGTACAGGAACGGGAACAGAGTGACGTTCATTAGTATTCTCAAGGCTGCTCTGCGTTGTGCTGCCACCCAGTGAGGCTGTCTGTGCTGCTGTGTGTGTGTGTGTGTGTGTGTGTGTGAGACAGAGACTAATCCCTGAGCTCACATAAATGTTTTTATGTATCTCGTGTTGGATCATATACGGCACTGACTGAATGCTGGTAAAATAAATCCCCCTCTAGTGTATATTACTGGATATATTCTTGATATGAGCCTGAGAAGCAGTAAATGTGACAACAAATTGAGTTGATAAAAGTCTTTTATTAAACATATATATATGATATTTGATATGCTTGATAATTGAGTCTTAAAATTGTAAACCCTCAAAGTCTTTTAGGGACTGTAAGAAAATTATTTGGCTTGATAGAAGTGCTGAATCATAACACACTACATTTCCTCTATTCTGACACCCTGCAAATACTTGCCCAACAGCCCCTTGACTCACTTTTTTCTTTTTAAAGTCATAACTTGGCCTTAAGTCGTTTTTCTGTCCCTTTTCTTGAATGCCCGATCTCGTGAGTATACTTTTTGAGAAAAACCCAAATGTTGTTTTACGTCCCTGAACAGCTTTATGATTCATGCAGTCTGAGAGGAAAAAGGCTGGGGGAAAAAAAACAAGTAATTCCACCAAAATTCCCCTAGAGGGCAGCAGAGGACACAGAATAAACCTTCTCTTTGGCACTGTGGGAATATATGAAGCAGCATTCTGGTCCCTTTGCCATCTCTGCTGCCAGAGCAGTGGGGTTATTTTGCTAATCGAGACAGTTTATGATCTAAAATCCCCTTACACGCATCACATATCTGAACCTCTTTGTCCGCCAGGATTTATTTTTTGAGCTGGTTTTATATTTTCACATCAGTTCACAGAGAGCAGACGAGGTTGGGACACTGGCTTGTAAAAATGAGCGGCCCTGAAAATGGTATATAGCTGGAGCCATCCTGTTCACTGCAGCCCTATTAGAGTGGCATCATCAAAGTTTATCGGCTGTGCTTTTTTGTGGTGGGTATTTGCAGAGGCTGAACCTGCTGGCACCAGGTTCAACTTTCTCTTACTGTAAGTCAGCATATTCAATACTCATATTTTTGAATGAAGAGTACTTTTAAAAGTTAGTACACTTGATGTGTCTACTTTGACCTGAAAATCTAAATTATTTTTTTTACTGTTTTCTAGCTTTTGCAATACAACAGGAAGTATTTCCTCTAAATTGGAAATGAATGTGCTTTAATGGAAACCAATGGGCTAAAACGCGTGCATGGAAATTCACTTTGAGCTGTGATCAGTGTATCATAAGAAAGAACGGATTTCTGTGTTTCTTCTAAAGCCCACAGGTAGCAATTTACACTCCTCACCTCCCAGCAGGAAACCAAAACAAAATCTGCTCCTGACAGGTGCATTGACAGCAGCACTGCCGCCAAATAACCAATCAGATGAGGTGATAAGTGAGGTGGGCGGACTTCCAAAAAAAAAAGAGAAGACAAAACGCTCCTAATCTTTTTGGATGGCCGATTTAATTCGCTCAAGGAGGTGTCAGTCACGCTACGGAGGCGTGTTTAAAACCCCTCCAACGTCCCAGCGCACACACGCGCGCACTCAACACCCCCCCCCCCCCCTCCTCCTCTCCCCCCCCCAAGCCACCGGCGCTATGGCAGTGTGAGGAGTAAATGGCTCAGAGTATCCGTGGCGGAAAGCGACCTAAACACTGGTCTGGGAACTGATAAACAAACAACAACAGAGGAAAAAAAGCGCGGCGCGTAAAAGCTCTCCACGGCGCACGGAAACTGTGCCAGCGCTCTCCAAGAAGCCAAGAAGACTCTGACGTTATTTTTTTTTTCTTCTTTTGGTTGTTAATTTTTGTGTGTTTGTGTGTGGAACAACGAGGATATCTTAATTGGACATGTGAGTTACGGGAGTTATCAAGACGAGCAGCCCTTTTCCAAGATGAAGTTCCTCGCCTGCGTCCTCGTCACTTTGGCGGTGATTCGATCGAGTGCAGCACAGTCAGGTGAGTGCTTTGTTGGACGTCTTTGCTCCTGGGTCTTTCGGTCAGGTCAGACGCAAATCTTGCTCCAAACTCCCCTCAAGAAGCCGTCAGATTAAGGCAAACAAAGCTTCACAATCGAAGCTACATTTACTCCACGAGTTTGCTTCATGGCGATAAAACTGCGCCACACTGAAACACCTGTGCTGTACAGTAAGCGCTTCATCACTGACACAAACTTAACACAACTTCATATCCAAACACGCTGCTTGTGATTTGAATAATCGCAGACACACACACACCTGCAGCACAGATTCAGCGGAGGAAAAGCTCTGCGTAAAAATCTTTTTTACACCACTTTCTTTGATGTTTAAGCCCATCCGAGATCGGAAACGACACATTTTAGAGCGCGTAATCCACTTTGCTTGTGTGCCTGATTTCGCTAAAAAAAAAAAAATGTCCACAAAGGCAAACCTCGGCTTAGAAATCTTTTTAAATTCACTGAAAGACTCTCGATTCTCTCATGATAGCGCCGCTCCTCACTCTGCCGTTTCATATTGTACTCTAAATATGAATGAATGAATGCACCATCCTTTTAATTTAAATCCCTTAAGGGGGCATTGACAGAGCGAGGACCGCGGCTATTTGTGCAGATTTATTTGAGTTTATCTCGCTTGCACCAGTGGCACAGTTTGCACCCCTTACTGTCTTTGAATAATTTAGATGTAGCAGATATACTGAGGGCTATACAGGCGGTGGGAGGAATAAAAAAAAACAACAACTCGCTTTCATCATTAGGACCCCTGTGGTGTCAATCCCAGGACGAAAATCACTTTAATGTGCCTGCAGTCATCCCATAAACACGTGTGATGTGTCCCTGCTACTCAAGAGCCAATTAATTTGGAAGTTAATGATATTTTTTATTTGCGTCTTTACCTGTGTTGTATTTTTCCTTGGGCACCCCTGCAGGATGTTTGCAGACAGTTATGCTGTGATGCTGCAACATGTTACGATAAAGCCTGCAACACTTGCTGGGTGATATCTTGATCATGATGCTGCATATTTATCCTGGCAAATAATGGCAGTGTGAGTGAGGCTTTTGAAGTTCCGCTGATGAACTTTTTTCAGTGGAGCTTTTGTTCTCAGACGTCCTGATGGATGTGGAGTGTAATGTGCTTAAGCACTACTTGATGCCAGAATCTTGCTTCTTAATTGATCTTTTGAAGATTTTGCAAATAATGCAGAAGTAGGGAACAGATAACAGAAAGTGGAAACACTGAAGAGTGGATGTTTGGAGGCGAATTCTGGCAATCGCCCGTCCTCTAGGAGTCCCAAATAGGACTTCAGGACGCCTTTCTCCCCCTCCACCAAGGAGAGGTTTGAGATTTGGCGCAAACTCTGGTGGTTTGTGGTTCCCAGGCAGAGCTGGACAAACACACGCTCACCCTCCCCGCTGAATGTGCTGTGGATCTTGGATGGAAGGCGCCGAATGCCGCCTTTTTAAACAGGAGTGGATGGGTGCAATTGGTGTCACTTCATATGAATGGGGAAGAAAGAGCGGCACCCTCCTTGTTTTTTTATTTATTCTCTATGCATACACTTCCA